CTCGAGAAACCACGGTTCCTCGCACGAAACCAGGTTTCGTGCTCACAAAACCTAGTTTCTTGCTCAAGAAACCAAGGTTCTTGCCATGAAACTAGGTTTCGTGGCACGAAACCTGGTTTCTAGCCCTATAACCGCAGTTATAGCTGGAATCTTAGTTCCGTGAGCAAGAAACTAGTTTGAGGAGCAGAGAACCTAGGTTTTCAGCAAGAACGACACTTTCAACTCGGCGCGCGATTTTGTAATCATACATTCGAGAAACCGACGGTTTCGCTACCGAAACCAGGTTGTCGTGCTCACAAAACCTAGTTTCTTGGCCATATACTAAGGTTTCAATGGCCATGAAACCTGGTTTCTCCGCCCTATAACCGCAGTTATAGCTGGAATGCTTAGTTTCTTGAGGGCAAGACAAACTAGGTTTTGGGAGCAAGGAACCCACTTTCAACCGCGCCAGTTTGTATCACTAATTCGAGAAACCAGGCTGGGCTTCACTTAGCTGGGCTTCACTTAGCTAGGCTTCACTTAGCTGGGCTTCACTTAGCTGGGCTTCACTTAGCTGCATGGGCTTCACTTACCTGGGCTTTACTTAGCTGAGCTTTACTTAATTAGTTGGTCTTCATTTGGCTGGGCTTTACTTACCTGGGCTTCACTTAGCTGGGCTTTACTTAGCTGGGCTTCACTTACCTGGGCTTCACTTAGCTGGCTTTATTTAGTTGGGCTTTACTTAGCCGTGGTTCACCCGACTGGGATTTATATTACTCAAATTAATCTAGTGTCTATATATTCATACCTTGTTCATTCACACTGTCGTCTATAATATACCTTGCTCGTTTTACTGTATTGCCTCACGCATACCACATTATCTTTAATGTAGTCCATTCGCATACACTCACTTTACATACATCGGTTTAGTTACGAGACTCGCGCTCTATACATTATTGACGTCGCTTCTTGACGCCATCTTGCTACGTGGTAGAATTCAACCCATTTTCTCCTGGATCGCTGACGTATGATCATTAACTCGCTGTTGTTGCAGACCCGCCGAGCGCCCCTAGCGTTCCCACTGTCGTCGACACCACCGATGACTCCATCACTGCTAAGTGGCAGCGACCTCGCAAAGATGGCGGATCGCCCATCGCTGGCTACGTGCTCGAGTTCCGCAAGGTCGGCACGGATGCGTGGGGTCGGGCCGCTTCTTATCTTATACCGGACACCGAGTTCAGGTATGTGGCTTCAATGGTGATCTACCTCGTAGTGAGATATTGATAGGCCCGGCATGCATGCTTACTTAGAGCCAGCCAGAGCTAATAACACAGTGTGGCTCGATTTCGACAGGTTTACTCTCCACATCGGAATAGACTAACTTGGAAAATGGTCAAATGAATTTTAGAATATAATGGTTCGAGTTCCGGCTTATTTATTTCTCACTCGCATGCATAGTTGTTAAGTTATGATCGTAATCTTTATAAACCGCATAATATATACACACACATATATATACAAAGTTTTAACTTTGTGATTATTTACTTCTGATATATAAAAAAAAAAAATTAATATATAGACGCACTGTAGACGTCGGAGCGTGGTAAGTACTACTAACCACTAAGCGTTGCACTGCTACGCGTTGCAGACCGACCTATGCGTGTAGAGCGTAGATCTACAGACGTGTCGACGCGTGTGCTTGTTTTCAGGGTGATCAACCTGGCAATAAACAACAAGTATGAGTTCCGCGTGCGCGCTGTGAACAACGCCAGCCTGGAGGGAGACTGGAGCGACGTGTCTGAACCCATCGCCGCCACGCCCAGACCACGTTAGTATCCTCTCTTCTCCCCTCCCGCCCCATCCCTCCTGCTCTCAGCCGTTCATGTGTAGTGTGTAGCACACGCAATTGCGAGTTGTGTCCTTCATTTAGATATATATTCTTGATCTCAACCGGTGCACACCTTGATGGTTCGTCGATATTTCCAATAATAAGTTAATAAATATGATGATAATAATAATAATAATAACAATAATAATAATATCAATAATACTAATGCATAATAATACAATAATATTACTAATAATAAATAACAAGCTTTTCGTTGTTGCGTCGTGCAGGTGCGCCGAAGATCAGAATGGAGTTGTCAATGAGAGACATGCTGGTGAAGGCGGGAGAGGAATATAAGATAGCGATTCCTTACATCGGACGTCCCACGCCAAAGGCTCACTGGTCACAGGTGTGTACGATGTAGTAGGTTGTAACTCTAGATTAACCCAGAGTATAGACCATCTCTATTCACGAAGCACACTGTAATGACAAACGACAAGTGACACCGTTATTGTGGTTAGTATACTGTATTAGTGAGTAAATTAGATGTTAAATTGCGTGATATGCGAGTACGAACTTTACTCATGCAATTTTACGGATGTAATAGATACGACGGGGTTACTAATTGTGGGCGTGTTTTATGTGGTGGATGTAAAGGTCCGTCAATCCGATGGGACGGTAGACATTTTTAGTATTCCCGCCTTCTAAAGGGCGAATTACCGTACGAGTACGTGTTACTGAATATAGTTTGATTACTGAAGCCATGATCACCCGTCTGTCCTGACCGCAGAATGGTCTGGAGGTGCGTGCGAGCGAGCGCATAGAGTTTGACGTGACTGAGGAGCTGGCGATACTGATCAACCACTCTGCGCGACGCGACGACGCCGGCAACTACATGCTGCGGCTGCAGAACGACGTCGGCGTCGACTCCGGAAACCTGAAGCTCACAGTTGTCGGTACGCTGTCGGCCAGTGACGCGGCGCTACGTCGCCATCGCACTTAGTTAACCGCCGTATATATAGTCATAGCTACGTTGCTATATTTTAGTTAACTGCCGTGTAGCGAATAGCCGAATAGCGATTAGCCGAATAGAGTATAGTCATAGCTACGCGTTGCTATATGCGCGGTATTGAGGAACGCAAATTCACGAAGCGCGGTATGGTGTTAAGTTAGTTCAGGAGACGACGGCAGCGAGGACACCTATTGCGTCGGGCTTGGAAAGGGAATAGAATCGTAGTAAATGTAAGATCTATGGCGAATACTAACGTGCGCCCGACTGCAAATCTTCTCGGATTGGGAATTACCGACTGAATGAATACAAATCTTCTCGGATTGCGAAATACCGACTGAATGATTACAAACCTTTTCGGATTGCGCGAAATATAGTTTTGAGTGTTTTGGCTCGCGTTATATATATTATTATTTTTTTATTTTTATTGTTATTGTATTATATTATTAGGAGAGCGTCTGCTTTAACTCGATTGTTTCTTCTGCTTGTCTCAGATCGGCCGGGACCGCCGGCCGGACCGCTAGAAGTGACGGACGTGAATCCAGAGTCGTGTTCTCTATCGTGGCGAGCTCCCACCGACATCGGTGGCAGCCCCATCACCAACTACATTGTCGAGAAGTACGACCAGTCCATCGATGACTGGATCAAGGTAACCCGTTACTCACTACCTAACATTTCTGCTGTTTATGCCGATCACTTCACCGATGTTAATGCATGCATCTTAGTATCACGTAGCGAAACAATCGCGTGCATTTTTATTGCGCACATAATTAATGACAAATAGTATTCAGTAACCTGGTGCGTAATTATTTTAGCGTATAAGAGGTTTATATATATATAATGTCTTGTTAGACGTTTGTCTTTATTCTAAAATGGGTGTTTGCTTGATCGGCTGTAGGTTACCAGCTTCGTACACCTGCCAGGCTATAGTGTTGTTGGCCTAAAGGAGGGCCACGAGTACAAGTTCAGAATCATGGCAGAGAATAAATATGGCATCTCTGATCCGCTGGATCTTGACAAGTCTATCACAGCCAAACACAGATTCGGTGAGTTAACGCTTTCTAAAAAAAACTATGATTGGCCTGAATTAAAATACAATTAAAGCCGCGTGCACGTGTAGTGGCGAAGTCTTCTCTACCTTTGTAGGTCTGTATCAAACCGTAATGATTATTTTGTTAGCACTTTACACGAACACACTCGCGTACTGTTGATGTTTATGTTCGTCGGCTGTTCTGTCATGTGGGCCGACTGATGCGTCATATAACATAAGATCCTAACGTATCAGATCATAATTGTGTGACTAAGTGTGAATAAGGGCTGTGCTTGTTATGTGTATGTTACATGGTTTTAGTTAGCTGGTTGGATATTTTCATTTATATACATGCTGTTTGCAATGCACGCGCTGATAATTACGCAAATAAAAAAATCATTACCACGCACGCGCGCACGCACACACACACACACACACACACAACCACACTATGTATATATATATATATATATATATATATATATAAATAATATAAATATAAATAATAATAATAATGTAATATATGTATATATGTATATTATAATATCTACAGATGTACCGAATGCACCGGGCAAACCAGTCATCGACGACCACGACGAAAGGTCGGCCATTCTCGCCTGGGCCGCGCCCGAATTCGACGGTGGCTCGCCCGTGCAGGGCTACGCCATCGAGTACCGCAACCCGGGCGACCGCATCTGGACGAACGCCTTCACGTACCTCGTCGGCGAGCGGCGGGTCGAGGTCGGCAACCTGCAGGACAAGTACCAGTACGAGTTCCGCGTGCTGGCTCGCAACGCGGCCGGCTTCGGCGTACCGAGCGACGTGTCGAGCGCCGTGCTGATGCGCGCCAAGGAGCAGGCGCCGTCGTCGCCAGGCCAGCCGGAGGTCGTCAAGTGCGGCAACACGTACGTCGACCTGCGCTGGGACGAGCCGCGCACGGACGGCGGCAGCGTCATAACGGGATACTTCGTCGAGCGACGAGAGATCGTGTCGGCGGCGTCGATTCGCGCCCGCTCCGGCATGGAAGGACGTCGGCAGTCGGCGCTCGCGGAGGTCCGTCGGCAGTCGGGCGCCGAGGCTCGTCGGCAGTCGGGCGTCGAGGGACGACGACAGTCATCGATGGCGTCGACCGAGAGCCACTACTCGACGTACAGCTCCAGCTACCTGTACAAGTCGTCGGCGCGCCACGTCGAGTCGTCCTACTCGGCGATCTGGATTCGCGACAACGAGAATCTCATCACGCACAACTTCATCACCGTCACCAACCTGCCGCGCGAGTCCGAGTACGAGTTCAGAGTGACGGCATGCAACGCGGTCGGCAACAGCGACCCGAGTCCGAGCACCGGTGCCGTCAAGGTCAAGGAAGTCATCGGTGAGCTACGTTTTCATTTCCCGTTTGGTTGCTGTTGTTAATTTTAACTTGCGTGTGAAATTTTTATGATTCGCCGTGTGTGTAATCCGTCGAATTCATTTTTATTTTATTGTGTTTTTATCTGTATATGCGTAAAGGTATACAATTTGCCTTATGCATAACTCGTCGGCATTTCTATTCATTCGTATATGATTTCTGTCGTTTAGTACCAGAGTCACCCACGATCACCAAGCGGCTAAGTAACAAACTGACAGGCCTTCGTAAGGCAGTCAGGCTACAGTGCAAGGCAACAGGCACGCCACCGCCACAGGCTCGATGGTAAGTCTTTTACTTCATCGTATTAAGGCTTTGAGTGCCAGACCATTTTTAATAATGATGAACGGACAATTATGTCTTAAATATAATAACGTAATAGTTATACATAAGTATAGAGCAGATAAAATTTGCCTACTGAATATACTGTATGGACTTTCGGTAAGGATATTCGTACTGCACTTGGTAGTTTGCCGACGATGTAATAATATATCGTGTACTCCTGCGCAATCACTATGCTAATAAATTCATTGCCAATAATCTCCCGTTGTTTCTGCTCACAGGTATAGGAACGGTATCGAGGTGGTTCCCGGTAACCGCGTACAGATGTTGTGCGACGGCGACACCTACACGCTACGCCTGAACGAGGTGTGGGAGGTGGACGAGGGCGAGTACACGTGCGAGCTGAAGAACCAGGCTGGATCCGAGTCGACCACCTGCAAGCTCACGATAACATGTAAGCCACGACACGACACGACACGACACGACACGACACGACACGACACGACACGACACGACACAACACGACATATCACGCGCTGTTATACGCCAGACATAACTGATTATATTTATTTGAACATGTGCAGTAACTTGAACTTGAACTTGAACTTGAACATTAACAACTTGTACAGTAAAATGCGTATTTAAGATCAAGGATCTTACTGAAATTTGTCATCCCGATAATATTAATGCATCTATCCTAATGTAATGATGTAATATATATATATATATATATATATATATATATATATATATATATATATATAAACTAGTTAATCTATTAATATATCTAACTGCGTGTCTTACTTCTTACTGCTGTCATATACTACTATATACTAATATCCTCTCACTGCTACCTACCTCCACCAGCTCCACCGAAGATCCACCAGCATCCGGGCGACGTCACGTTCCGCGTCAGCGACCTCATCAAGGTCAAGGTCTTCTTCATGGGCACGGCGCCGATCACCGTCAAGTTCGACAAGGACACCGAGCGGCTCGTCGAGAGCGACCGCGTCAAGTACGCCATCTTCGACGACTACGTGCTGCTGTCGATACACGCGGCCGAGCGCGGCGACGGCGGCGACTACACGATGACGCTGACCAACGAGAGTGGCTTCGCCAGCACGGGCTTCAACATCCGCGTGCTCGGTAAGCACTGTCGTCGTTAGCATAATGATTATGATTTATGAATGAATTATAATTATTACGATTAATTTATGTTAATTAATAATACAACCGCGTGTCGGTGAGCGCCGTCGTTAGCATAATAATTATTACGATAAATTTATGTTAATTTTTAATACTAAGAACACTTGGTGAGCGCCGTCGTTATCATAAGAATGTGTGAATGTTCGAAGTGTATCATCGTTCGTATTAGCACCGCGTGGGGGCGTCACTAACCGGAAATCGCCTCTATATCTGTTCTCTGCGCGTCTCTCAGGACCCCCCAGCCCGCCCGTCGGCCCACTTCACGTGTTTGACGTCACCAAACACATGGCGACACTCGCGTGGAAGCCGTCGAAGAACGACGGCGGCAGCAAGGTGACGCACTACTGCGTCGAGCGGCGCGAAGAGGGCAAGGAGGCGTGGACGGTCGCCGCCACCTACTGCAAGGACACGACCTTCACCGTGCAGGGCCTCACCGAGAACCGAGTCTACGAGTTCCGCGTCAGCTCCTGCAACGATAGCGGCCAGAGCGAGCCGCTCGTCGGTGCAAATACGGTCGTCGCTAAGCTGCCGTTTAGTGAGTATACACCTTAAGCGTGTTCGCATTCTCCGTGTTGTTACAGTTAGATTAGTGCGTATATTAGGAGAGATCGGGAACGCTTATTTTTGGGTCACGGGATTTTTGGACCATTTCAATTATATGGGAACCGGGAAATACCAAATAAATTACCACCTAAATAACGATCGGGGAATTACGAAGGATTAGAAATACTATGAATTATGTTAACTCTGCGATTATATTCAACTGGGAGCAATGAAATAGGGGGGAACAGGGAATAGATTCCTCTCCCTGTTCTCCCCTCTATTATAAGTAGTATATTCTCCGCGCTGAATGCCAGTGATTGTGTATTCACAGTAATTTATGCGTGGCGTGTTGTTACCTATACTAAAACGCATTTTACTTATGAAAATGCGTTTTAGACATCGGCGTGGGCTTCGTATAATGTTTGCCTGTTTCTGCCGAGCAGATGCACCGGATGCCCCGGGCGTGCCGGAGATAGCGCAGGTGGGCGGAGATTTCGTCAGCCTCACCTGGGACAGGCCTTCGTCTGATGGCGGGGGCAGACTGCAAGGTGATATGTTACTGAGATTGAACGTTTGTAATAAAGCAATAATAATAATTATCCAGCGTGTACACATACGTGCGGGCGCATCATTACGCGTTTTACAGATTATAAATTATCAACGAGCGTTTTATACCAGCTTCCAAATACAACGTGCGTCTTTCTCGCGTGTAACGGGCATGTTTTCCGCGTGTTACCCGCGTGTAACGCGCGTGTTTACCTCGTGTAACGAGTATGTTTCGCGTGAGTGTTTCTTGGCGTGTAATCGCGAGTGTCTCCGCACTGCAGGCTACTTCGTTGAGAAGCGCGAGGTCGGAGCGGAGAGCTTCGTACGCTGCAACCAGGAGCGATCGAAGCCGACCATCTTCAACGTTCACAACCTCATCGAGGATCGGCAATACGAGTTCCGCGTGTACGCTGTCAACGAGGCAGGCCTCAGCGAGCCATCATCCAACTCGACCACGGTCAGAGTGAAGGACCCCAAAGGTACCTACCTACCTACACCCATGGCTCGAGCATTTAGCGTGGCTAGTCGTGGAGCGTTGGTCTGACTATGTTAGACCGTGAAAATAGAGGCTCGATTGAATTTTGCGGACTAGTATAGAACACGCTCAGAAACAGCTGGCTGTTTCTCTCTGCACTTGTAATCTGTAAGTCTTGTAATTCTAATAAGACTTCGTCGCTCTGTCGTCGGCGGGAAAATCTCTTCTTTTCGTTTATACGAATTTAACCCGCACGGATTGCGATTTATTCGACAACTTGAAACTCCGACGGCGCGCGCGCGTGCGTGCGTGCGTGCGTGTGTGTGTGTGTGTGTGTTGTGCGTGCGTGTGTGCGTGCGTGAGTGCGTCTGCTGCGTGTATATATACTTGCTATGCTCGCGTCTCTGTCTATATCTGTATCGACATCATCACACATCTCTTGCTTATATCTGCACACAGCTCCACAGCTGCCCGAGTTCACTATTCACCTGAAGGACGTCGTAGCGACGCAGGGCCGCGACGCGACGTTCGAGTGCGAGGTGTTCGCCTCCGACGACACGCAGATGCACTGGTTCAAGGGCACGCGCGAGATCTTCAACGGCATAAAGTTCAAGATCTTCCGGGAGACCTACAAGCACGTGCTCGTCGTCGTCGACGTGTTCGGAGAGGATGCCGACGAGTACGTGTGCCGCGCCGTCAACAAGGCCGGGTCACGTGCCTCGCGCGCTGACCTTATCATAAAGAGTGAGTGTTCGCGTGTTCGTTCGTTCGTTTGCTCCGACATACTGAAATCGTGATCGTGAGGAAAAATGGTTAAAAAAACGTAGAAAATTGGAGAGAAATTCGTGCGTGACGTCTGTTTTATCATATTTGTCTTCCTTATTTTCTTCGTATGTTCTTCGTATGTTTGTTGTATTATCATATTCGTGTGTAAAATTTGGAGGCGCAATGTTTTCACTGGCGCACCATGCGGCTTAAGTTTAACAGTTCACTTGTCGTCTTCCCGCAGCCGCTCCGCAGATCGTCATGCCGCCGCGCTTCAAGGAGGTGGCGCTGTTCACTTGTTATGTTTAACTGTTCACTTGTCGTCTTCCCGCAGCCGCTCCGCAGATCGTCATGCCGCCGCACTTCAAGGAGGTGGCGCTGTTCACTTGTTATGTTTAACTGTTCACTTGTCGTCTTCCCGCAGCCGCTCCGCAGATCGTCATGCCGCCGCACTTCAAGGAGGTGGCGTTTTTCACTTGTTACGTTTAACTGTTCACTTGTCGTCTTCCCGCAGCCGCGCCGCAGATCGTCATGCCGCCGCGCTTCAAGGAGGTGGCGCTGTTCACTTGTTACGTTTAACTGTTCACTTGTCGTCTTCCCGCAGCCGCTCCGCAGATCGTCATGCCGCCGCGCTTCAAGGAGGTGGCGCTGTTCGAGAAGGCGGAGACGGTGGTTGTGAAGATTCCCTTCACTGGCTTCCCGCGACCCGACGCCTGGTGGACACACAAGGGCGAGGAGATGGAGAACACGGACAAGTACCACATTGAGATCGAGGAGCGCCACGCCGTGCTAACTATCAGGTGCGCATGCGTTGTCACTCATGCGTTGTTGCTCGTCATACGCGGTCGCGCTTCATCTCTCGCGCGGGTTCTGTCACTTAGTGCGCCAGTCTCGCCGTTGCCACGTGCGGGTCTCTTTATTCCACGTACGCGTCGTCCCTTGACTCCGCATGCGAGTCTCTTTATTCCACGTACGCGTCCCTTGACTCCGCATGCGAGTCCCTTTATTCCACGTACGCGTCCCTTGACTCCGCATGCGAGTCCCTTTATTCCACGTACGCGTCCCTTGACTCCGCATGCGAGTCCCTTTATTTCAGAGGCAGGTCCTTTTATTCCATGCGCAAGTCCATTGACTCCACATGTGGGTCCCTTTATTTCACGTGCGGTTCCGTCCCTTTATTTCACGTGCGGTTCCGGCCCTTTATTCAACATAGTGATGCATTATTCCACATGCAGGTTTCTTTGCTTCACGTGCCGGTTCCTTCATTCAACGCGTAGGTTCCATCACTCTGCATGTGGGTCCCTTTGTTCCTCCCTTTCACATGCAGGTGGACCATGGGTTTCATGGAGGCTTGCAGAACAAGTCGATAGTACGCACCGGATAGAATAGCACCAACCAGTCAAAATAATTGCGACAGCGGTCATATTCCGAATTTGCATTGACACTACGACTCCTTCCCTTTTTCATTCAGCCATTGATATCCAAATGAAAGTGTGGATTGGTATTACTGCCAAAGCAACTTCGGATAACAGCAGTTATTGTATTCAGCAGTCCATACGTTATGAGCGCGTACCGGTTGCTCTATCATTCCGAGTCGTAGTGACTCTTCCTAACGCGCGCATGGTGTTGACAATTTCAGGGAAACGACAAGAGAAGACACGGGTATCTACAGACTGATTCTCGAGAATGACATCGGCAGTGATACAGCTGCGATTAAGATTCAGATCAATGGTAATTATACATTTTCAATCAATTATTTCGCTTTACTGTGAATGTAAATGTTCTCGCTTGTCAATAATCGATAGCGTTTGGCGAAATATGAAGAATTTCCCAGCGACTATAACACTCACAGCGCGCGGTGTGTTCTAAGGAGTAGCGGGCGTCGAATTCCACTGAAACACAAGTAAATACAGTGCAATCTACGGGCTGTTACACTATACGCTCCCTCTGGGGCGGATCCCCTGTTTTCAGACCGACCGAGTGCGCCACGTTTCCCTCTCGTGGAGAACATTCGCGATACGTCGGTGACGCTGTCCTGGAAGCCGCCGATCAGCGACGGAGGCAGCTTCATCACGGAGTACATCATCGAGGTGCTAGAGCTTCCCAGGGAACACTGGATACGCATCGCCAACACCAGGTGTGTAGCGCCTATCACTGCTGCTGCAAGCTGCAATGGCTATGACAGCGAGTAGTCGGAGATAGCTGTCGTCGACGTCATCTCTGAGTGATAACGCTTTGTCTCGCTCGCTGACGTATTGTGCTCGTGTTGTAGTACGAGATTATCAATGCTGAATGAAAGTGATTCGCCAATAAAGGACGGAGGATATTGGAAGGGGGAATATGAACGTGTGGGGTGCGTGCGTGCGTGTGCGTGCGTGTGAGCGCGCGTGTGTATATGTCTTTGTGTGTGTGTATGTGCGTGCGTGTGTGTGTGTTGTGTGTGTGTGTGTGTGTGTGTGCTGTGTGTGTGTGTGCCTGTGTGTGTGGTGTGTCGTGTGTGTCTGTGTGTCTTGTGTCTGTGTGTCTGTGTGTCTGTGTGTCTGTGTGTCTGTGGCGTGTGCGTGTGCGTGTGTGCGTGTGTGGTGTGTGTGTTGTGTGTGTTGTGTGTGTGGTGTGTGTGTGTGGTGTGAGTGTGAGTGTGTGTGCGTGCGTGCGAACGTAACAATAAGCGCGCGCGTGAACACTCTACTTACAGGCTGACCCATCACACGATCCTGAACCTGCTGCCGAATCGTCAGTACATGTTCCGCGTGTTCGCTGAGAACTTCTATGGCAGGAGTGATCCATGTGAGGCAACGGCCACCATCGTCACGCAGGAGCCAGAAGAGTACAGGAAGAGAAAGACCTACATGGAAGGTGAGTTCTGCAGACCATGACGCGTAGGCGTTTGAGAAGCGAGTCGGCTGATGGCCTGAGTTTGATCATAAAATTGTAGTTTGGTGAACCTGCATGTGCTGTTCGGCTCCGCTCCAGAGAGAGAGATATAGAGAGAAAGGGCAGATAACGAGAGAGAGAGAAAGAGAGAGAGAGAGAGAGAGAGAGAGAGAGAGAGAGAGAACTTTTACATTGTTAAGTGTGGATACGTAACATTGTATGTAATATAAATGGTTTTTTGGAGTAAATGCGGGTGGAGACGTTGGAGGAGAGGGTTGGTTTTGGCATCCTAGATGTAGGTAGAGGCTTTACCCGTGCAATCAGAAACACTGTAGTCAAGTGAAGCTACCGAGCGTTAGAGATAGGCTACTGAATAACGAGTCTCGTCAACTCTCTCGCGCATGCGTGGCAGCCTTATCGGACAATCGCAATGACGTTGTCGCGTCCTGAAAGTGTCTGACTCTGCACCATATTTCACTACCTATACCTGTAATGTGTGATACCATATTGTATGTATATTGAATGTACAATATGGATGGCGACACATGAGTATTAACGTTCTCCGGACAATTACGTAAGCACATGCGTATACTAGTAAAGGTGAGACAAGTATTTCATGTGAATATATTAGCGGAAACCTAATCAATAAATTCATTCGCTTCCAGATGAGTTTGGCAGGCGTATCAGAGGCAGAGGTTCTCCACTGTCGAACTATGACCAGTGCGGTACGTGTGGGATTCTTTGCTTGTTATACAGTGTATCATAGTGCCTATGACGTACCGGTATCCTTATTTCAGTAATTGTTTCGTGATTATAATAACCAATTATTATATGTCATATGTATTAGTTGTTATTACAGTTCAGTGTTGAATAATAAACTTTTTTAGTATTTGCAAAGACGCTTTTATAATTGTTCGGCTAGAAAGTTGAGGAAATATCGTGTCTCAATGCACTGTAGACAGTCCTGCTGTTATTCGTATAAATATATCGCGGAAAGGATGAACAGAGGGGTCTTGCGCTAATCACAATATTAATACTACTCACAGTGTTTGATTACTACGAGAAATACATCCCAAGACCTGTCGACATTAAATACGGAGAAAGCATCTACGACTACTATGAAATCCTTGAGGAGATTGGAGTGTACGTATCACTACCTAATGTAATGACAATGTGTTTTGACATCATGTTTATTATCATGTCAACATTCAGTATTTTAATCTAACGAGCAGCATCTGTGAAAGAGAGAGTGACTTACTAGCTAATTCGGCTATTTAAGAAATTAATATGCTGAAAAGGTATATATTCCTTTGTATGTTCATCTAATTTCAGAGGGATGCGGAATTTTGTCTTATCTTGCCTTATTTATCTAAAACCTGTTCTCATTCATCAGCATCCGATTAATAGAATTAACTAAGCCTCCTCTATATATATATATATAATCATCACACATGTACTGGAGCTGCCCCGTCAACGCACCTATTATAACTGTATTATATTCATTCCGCTCACTATTGCCAGACCGTGAAGGAGAGTTCAGGCTTAGTAGAGAGTCACGGTTATAGCATCGCAGTGCTATTACTGAGTAGCGCGCAACCATTCGTATTTACAGCGGCGCGTTCGGCGTGGTGCACCGGTGCATAGAGAAGGCCACCGGTAATGTGTTCGCCGCCAAGTTCGTCATGTGTTCGCATCCGGCCGAAAAGGCGGCCATACGTCACGAGATCGACATGATGAATCAGCTGCACCATCCGAAGCTGCTGCATCTACACGACGCCTTCGACGAGTACGACGAGATGGTGCTCATCGAGGAGTTGTACGTATCAGAAACACCTTCCTAATGAGTGAATGGGGGGGGGGAGCGGTTGTTTTTCGGCAAGTGGTATTGGGCCATTTTATATTAACTCTGGGAACCGGGTAATACCGGGTAAATTTATGAAAATTAGGATATTTGAGGTTTTAAGGAATTGGGCATTACGATTTTATTTAACTGGGAACTAAGAGATGGCACATTTTTAACTTGGGACACGTGGAATATACCTCCTTTTCCCACTTAGGTCGTTGTGTGCGTGGGGGGAGTGGAGCTGGGATGTTTTGGGAGAGGGGCGTAAATGGAAGATTATTGAGTATTGCATACGGCTGTGGGGATAATGGAAGAGGGGAAGAAAGTCTGCTATGTCAGGGGAGAGTGAATGGTAAGGACCGGTATGTTCTGGGTAAGAGACGATAGATAGGAACGTATATAACAATCATCTATGCGGAAACATATGACGTACTAAATGTGGACGAATAAGCGAGCATCGTGTCAGCATACAACCACATATCTGTAATGCGCGAAGAAAGAACTAGTGTGCGCGCAGAGGTCGGGTGAAGACGGACTGGGAGGAAATATATAGCAGCCATCTGCGCAGCGTACGCGAGGCTGATGTTGATAATGATTGGCGAGGCGAGATCGTAGCAAATATCGCACGCATTGTGCTTTCCGTCTCTGTACTGTTGATCCCTGCTGTCTCTGATGTCTCTCATCTCTGTGTGTCTCGCTGCAGCGTTGCTGGTGGGGAGCTGTTCGAACGCGTGGCAGACGAGAGCTACAACATGTGCGAGGCGGAGGTGATTCACTACATCACGCAGGTCTGCGAGGGCATCAAGCACATGCACGAGAACAACATCGTCCATCTCGACCTCAAGGTGAGCGTGCCTGAGCTCTCAACCCGCCCTGTCAGAAACATCACGTATAGTTGTGACAGTCATAACAAATGTCATGGGTATTTGCATGGCACTTCACGCGACAAAAGTTACGGATTTCACAAATAGTTGCGACCGTCATAACTTTAAAACTTCATGAGTTTTTGCATGCCACTTCACTACAAGGGTTATGACATTTCAGACTTGATATGATCAGATGATTCCATAGTTGATTATGATGTTTCTGACAACGGTTACCCTGGTTACGGGATGGCGGGGTATCGTGGGCATAACTATTGCTAGTAAAATGCAATATTCAATATTTAAGAAAAACGTTCACGCGTAAACGATTGATAGATTATACGTTAGTGTTTATTTATACTATTTATTAACTAGTGTTTCAGTTAAGATCACAATACCGATTATAACAGATATTTGCAGTTTTAATAGCGTTGTTACTTACTATATCCTGCGTGTCCAAATCATTCCTACCAAATCCGCGTAGTATATTGCGGTTACTATTCATTAGCGCTCGAATCACGATGGAATCTAACTTGGATACCATACAATAGAACATCAATAAAAATTCTTTTCTCGTGACAGCCGGAGAACCTGCTGTGTACGACGCGTCGCAGCACCAATCTCAAACTCATCGACTTCGGTCTCGCGGCCAAGCTCAACCCGGACGATACGGTCAAGGTTTCCATGGGAACGGCAGACTTCGCCGCGCCGGAGATCGTCGAGAATGACCCGGTCGGCTTTTACACGGACATGTGGGCCGTCGGCGTGCTCGCCTACGTGCTGTACGTTAACCCTCCCGCTCCCCTACCTCCCTCAAACAGCCACACACCCACCACCCCCGTGTCGCTCTCAAATTGACACAGTACATTGACTCGTGTCGATGATGGGCGTACATGCGCGGGGAAGTTTATTCACTTTAATAAAACGTCACCGTAATAAACATTATACTGAAGAGACTGCTGTTTAGACTGAGACGTTCAGAGATGAAGCAGTTTTTAAACAGAAAAGACATAAATTTGTCTTTTTAAACAGACGTGAATTTGTCTGTTTAAACAGTCGTATATTTATCATTTTTTTAAAGACGATGATTTATAATTCTAAAGAGAAAATACTGAACCGACGTAAATCTATCTTTTCTTAAAGAGTCGTCACCTCTCAGGTGAACAGAGGCGTTTAATTTATCTTTAGAAAAGACGCCAGCATAGTGCATTCTGACGTATCTCACGGTATAATGTTGCCGTCGCATGTGCCCGCAGGCTGAGTGGTCTGTCTCCATTTGCCGGAGACGACGACATTGAGACGTTAAGGAACATCAAGCACTGCGAGTGGGAATACGATGAGGAGGCCTTCCAGCACATGTCTGATGAGGGCAAAGACTTCATCAGGCGTCTGCTGATCCATGACAAGTGGTGAGTCTTAGATTAGAGAAAAATAATCCCACATTTCTTTAGACACGAAAGGTAGGATTATAAAATAGGAAAGGCTGCATAGGTTGAATATAATATCAAACATTCGGAATAATAGTTGGAGAAGGAAACAAAGATGAAGATGATGATGATGATAATAATAATAATAATAATCATCATCATCATCATATAATAATAATAATAATAATAATAATTATTATTATTATTATTATTATATACATGTATTTTAAGCGTTATAATGCCTCTGCGCGTATTAGCTCGATGAACGTGAAAACTAACAAACATAATCTTCGTGTCCTAGGCGTCGAATGACGGTTCACGACTGCCTCGACCATCCGTGGTTGAGAGGTGACCTGAAGCACCTGACTAGGAGAATCCCAGCTGCCCGCTACCGCGCCATTCTCGAGGCAATCAAGGCCAGATACGTACGTAACGTAGATTTTACGTATATACCCACAACGTCGATATTTACATCTACGTATATACTAATACGTATATACTAATACTGCTATACTGTGTACTGACTGCGCGTCGCGTTGTGCGGCATAATCGAGTTAAAATGGCTTCCACGTGTTAATTTCACCGACTATTCAGTCATTATTAAACCATGGATATAGATTACATTTTGTGATTGTTCTGGATCTTCCCTGGTGATCAATGTATTGCGGTTTTATTTACAATATGCCCCGATTGTGTTATTATTCGTATAACTTGTAACACATTTATTGCACATTTAGACACTTGTAATTGGAACAGATATAGATACTATGTGCGATTTTAGACACTAAGTAAACGTTTAGAGACTATGTGCACATTTAGACACTAGGGACACATTTATACACTAGGAACACATTCCGAAACTGGAATACATTTAGACGATAGGAATACATATCTTCGCCAAGAACACGTTTAGACATTATGCAGACGCAGATTTAGGCGTGTTGTTTTAACGCGTGTATTTGCGCTCCTGCAGGAGGCATGGCAAGCGCCCATCGTGGCGATGGGCCGCATGGCTAACTACGGAGCACTGGTGAAACTACGACCGATGGAGTATAAGATCATCGACACGCGCTTCGGTGAGTGATCCTCGCGTGCATGGCAACGCGCTTATAACCATGAATACAATTGTATATAATTCTATGCAGCAATGGCTCCTAAAATTGTAGGCTTTGCTACATCATTGCTATACAATATCGCTGTATGGGCGAGCACTTGTGGATGTTTGTCGAGCAATAATAGTTGGAGAAGGAGAAGAAGATGAAGATGATGATGATAATAATAATAATAATAATAATAATCATCATCATCATCATCATCATCATATAATAATAATAATAATGAGTTGACTGAGTTGCTAAGCGCGCATACAGTTATTTATTGCGCCACCCGGTGTATGCTGGAATAAGGGGCCTACCACATAGTATACAGCGACAAAAATTAACGAGGTTTTTGGAAGTCACATGACTTTCCACTGAAATTCCGCATATGTGGCGAAAACAGCCAAGTCTCATTGAATGGTGTATTACTAGCTTACGCAATGGAGTAAGTGTAATATTGGCACTTAATGTTTACTCCAATTATGAGCTATATTTGTATTTTGCGACATATTTCTGCGGAGTCCTATTATCAATTGAGAATTTCCGTGCTCATGCGAACTACGAGGCCTTGAGAAAATGCACTTCCCTGGCTGGGGTTTGAACTCACAATATTCGAAGTTAAAGGTGGACACTCTGATTGCTGGCCTACCGTAGCTCTCTTTCTACGAGTAGTTCTCGACGATAACGACACGCTGACTTCGCCGTCACTGACTCTGCGTTTGTTCGCGTTCTCGCAGATCGCAGAGAGGCCGCGCCTAGATTCATCTACAAACCGCACAGTACGGTGGTGCTCGAAGGACGCGGCGTGCGCTTCGAGTGTTTAATCATCGCAGTGTCGCCACCTATCGTCAGTTGGTGAGTATTTAAAATCATACAGACACAATTACTGCTCACTGTGCCTAGTGATATAGTTTTTAATTGTTTATCTAGGTTAATTGTAATTCTCTTAGTTATAGTTGTGTAGTTAATGCTGGTGTTTGCTGAAGTACAGAGCAGAAAAAACAGTTGTGGGTGCGAAAATAGTATATTGATTAACTATCTACTTTTAGAAGTGTTAACTTTGGTTTTTTTCGTCGGACAAAGAATTATTTTTTGAGACGAACTAATGCCTTAGACAAATACGGCGTGAGCAATAAAAGACGATACCGCCACAGCAAAGTGTAAATGCGTATGCTGCCAGCGCAGCCGCACACGCTCTCCTGAGGATTCGCCAGAAAACTGTAGTAATATGCCGGCCATGCATTTTGCAGCTATAGCAGCGGCATCTTCCAGCGGTCATTATCGTAATCTTGCCACGGTCCGTCATCGCCATGTGCAACCATTGTGAAACCTGACGCAATATGCTAGCTGTGGCTGCTTGGTCGTCGCGGGTCGCTCACGCGCCCTATTCCTTACTCGTCCAACGCGCACAGCTGGCTTCATGTACAGCAGCTCTGTCCGTGTAGACCTTTGCTCCCGCTACAGGGCTATAAACGACCCACAGTGCTCGGAGACGACACTGAATCTTTGTAGCAATTTAGGCTAAGCTGCATCCTGTGATACAATAGCAAAATTCGCTAGCCGGCAAAATGATACGACTTTAGCCCACAACCAGCTAATCAAACTCAACTCGCTTTAACTTTTGCTATTTGTCGAACTCATACGAATTAGACGCATACATACGCGCCACGTCTAATTTAGGTAGCGGCAGAAAAAGTGAGACTCACTGCCGTTTCCCAGCACTGTGGGTTGTATAGTCCTCTAACGGAAACGACGGGCTACGTTGGTAAAACTACACGCATCATAGCGGTGCTATTCAGAAAGCACGATGGCGGGTACATACGAACGTTGCCAGCCTTCTCGGGATATTTATAATCGTAGGGCCGTCAGCAGTCGTTAACGCTACGGTGCTGACAGGTGAAAGCGGCAGTTTTTATGTAAACCCGCCTCGAACGCCGTATGAAGCCGGGCATCTGTGTGATGCGGGTGGTGGAGGGCAACATACTCATGATACTATGCAACAGCTTGCCGCCACATTTCACTCGCGTTTGCGAGTATATTATGTAGATCATCCCAGTTTACGCGCGAGTGCGTTCATAGTCTGGCCGTACAGAGAACAGCGTGTACTGAGTGTGTGAGGCGAGTAAGTGAGGCAACAACCAGTGGATGAGCTATTGATGTGGCTTCGGGATTTGCGTTGTTGCAAAGCTAATATAGCGACAACTGAGGTGCACTACTTGCGCATCGAGATTCCTGCGGTGTGAGATCTCTTCTGGACACTTCGTTAATTGTATTAGCTGGTAATTAGAAGAACATATTGATTATATATGATAATGTAACGCATTTAATTTCGTCGATATGTGTTGTAGTTGTTTGTTTGTATTTTTTGTATTTATTTGCTGACGGCAAACTTGCTTCTAACTTTCGTGTGCAGTTAGAGCTATAGTTAGCAGTAAGGGCCGCGACCCTCTCTAAAACAGCTCGATTCTAGATACCGTGAATCAACAACGGTCGACCGCGCACGTATGTATCCATCCTGTCGACTGAAGCCACTTCCAGCGAAACGAACTAGTTCTTGCCGTAGCGTATAGCGCCTATATATGTAACCAACCTCAATACAGCTTCACGAAAGTACGCAACGTTCCTCTTTTTCTTCATCATCATCTTATTCTTCCTCTTCTTCTTCTTTCGACAGTCTACATTCCACATGCTTCCTCTGGAATACGGCCGCGTATTGGGCACTGCGGATGTATATACGTCTGCGCAAATGTAATTTGAGCTGGCACCTTCTTCGTTGGCCCTCTTCGCCCACTGTACCTATTTTTGCACTCACTCACTCACTCATTCACTCACTCACTCACTCACTCACTCACTCACTTATTCATTCACTCAATCACTCATTCACCCACTCACCCACCCTCACTCACTCACTTACTCACCCTCACTCACTCACTCACTCACTCACTCACTCACTCACTCACTCACTCACTCACTCACTCACTCACTCACTCACTCACTCACTCACTCACGCACCCACTCACTCACTCACCCACTCACTCACTCGCTCGCTCACTCGTGCCCGCCCGTCCGCTTGTCCGCACGCTCAGCCTGCCCGCTCGTTCACTACTCACTCACGCGCGCGCGTCGTCTTCGCAGGTACAAGGCGGGCTACGAGATCAAGCAGAGCGTGAAGCACATGAAGAAGTACTCGCACAACACGTACGAGCTGATCGTCAACCGGTGCACGATGGACGACGCCGGCGAGTACATCGTCGTCGCGCAAAACTCGTTCGGCAAGCGCGAGGAGACCGTCTTCCTCAACGTGCAGAGTGAGTGCGGCGCGTGGATATAGCATATAACGTTTTATTCATACCATATACCATAACCATTTTTACTAACGTTGCGAAAACGTTGTGTTAGCTGGGTAGATGCGCGCATGCGCGGCCAGCTCCATAGTAACGCCGCGGTGCGTAGGGGGGGGGGGCAGACGCGTCATGACGTTATACCTATGCGTTATACGCTAGTTCGGTAACGTTGTTAGAAATGTTATGACGTTACGTTTGCTCGGTAACTTTATCAGAAACGTCGTAACGTTATGTCAGTTAGGTATCGTTAGGTCACGTCATGTCTGTTAGAAACGTCATAATGTTACGTTTATTTAGTAATGTTGTCAGAAACCTTCTTGTTTGCTTAATTTTCTTCGCTTTTTATTCCCTTACACTTTAGTAAATTGAAAATTTGAGGCGTTTTCTAATGCTTGACGCATACTAAGTAGGTTCGAAAACAGTTTGTTGGTACCTATCCGTGTTTCTAAAGAAGATCCCGTAAAAGTGGAATAGTTCTGCCAAATATTATGAGCGTGCACTTACAACGCAGGCTTGCCAAGAAATTCTCAGCGTATTTTCTTGTTGACATTGCTTGCTGAGAGTAATGCGTATGCGGGAAGCAGAGTTTGTTCTGGCTCCAACTTGAGCTGCTATTGGCTTTGTTTTAGGCCCCTGTAGCGGCGTATTTGATCCTTTAAGCACGTTTTGTTTCCGCTCATCAAAGACCTTGAATTTCTAATCTTTGAATTGACTAACATATTCCTATGCAAAGCTCGGTCGTTATGTTATACCGTTGGCTTTTTAGAGATTTCTACTGTATGCCCTATATGCTTTTTTTAACTTCGCCGCTCTAGTTTACTATTTACTGTTATTTGACCGAACGGAAAAACAATTTCTCTAAATGAGCTAGAATTCACTGAGGGAGCCTCGTCCAAAATGAAGGGAACTCCGTCCGCCTTAACCTCCATAATGAAAAGGTTGAAGAATGTTTAGCGTATTATGTTGGATCGGGTGCTCAGTTTGAATCGATGCTCGGTCAGATAAAAATGTGACGAAATGTGATATATATTTTAGCACACAGAAATGTCGACGCGTTTAAAGTCATCGTATCGAATTTCTTCAATTTTCTTGTTTATTATTACAATTTTCAGTTTTCATATGGGCCGTATAATAATAACAATAATAGTAATTATTATTATTATTATTATTATCATTCCCTCTGCCTACTTCGCCATTCACCTATCCATCACTTCCTTTTCTCTTAGCCCCGCCTCTGCGCGAACCTTTTAAGCCTCTCGCCCGCGCAGCTTCCTAGCGCGCGCTCCCCAGCCTCGGCGCACTCACTGCTGCTGCTCTGTTACGATAACGATGTCTGGGTTTCTGCGTGCAGAGATGCCTGAGCGGGAGCCGCTGCTGAGACCGCTCAGCCCGCAGCACTACAAACGTCGCCGCACGACGAGAAAGTTCGACCTGTTCGCACTCTCCGAAGAGAACAAGCCCAAGTTCACGTTCCTGCTGCGTCCGCGCTTCATCCAGGAGGGCCTCAGCTGCAAGCTCATCTGCACCGTCAGCGGGATGCCGCGACCGAGCGTAAGTTACCTGTCGTGCGCATGCGCCGCAGCTCCAGCCACGGCACGTGTCACGCGGGCATCGATGCAGTTAGAGGTTAGAGTAGAGTTGGTGTGCGACCAAGTTGTTCGAAATGCACAATGAGGGTGTGACTGTGCAAAGCTCCTACGCGAACAGGACGTGTTGTCTAGATGACCGGATACTCAACACGGATAATCACTCATCTTTTTTTATCTCTCTCTTCGTTTTTAGTAAATTGCAAATTTAAGGAATTTTTTACTGTAATTCGCAGTGTTGATCTGTCTATTTGATCAACTTTGTCTCTTTCCGTCTTCGATATAGTCCTTTGCACTTTGAAGACTAATATTTACGAGGTAAAGGTAGGGGCACACGAGCGATTTTTATCGCCCGATCGCCGCGAATTTTAAAATCGCTCGAAAAATTCGCCCGTGTGCCCGTTCACGTCGACGCCGATTTTTAATCGCCCGCACGAATCGCCCGTATCCAAAATGTTCGATATTTTCGGGCGATTATTTACGCCGGCGATTATTTACGCTGGCAAATTCGCTCGTGTGCCCGTGTCCGGCGTATTTTGTCGCCCGATCGATTTTTCTAAACCAATCGGACGTGTTGTTGATATCATGTGATGTTAAAATCGGGCGATTAAATTCGCTACGTGTGCCCCTTCGTGATCGGGCGATTAAATTCGCTGGCGATTTTAATCGCCGCGATCGGGCGATAAAATACGCTCGTGTGCCCCTAGCATTAGCCATGCCCTGTTACTTACCGTCATTCTACCTCTCCAACCGCCACAGATACAATGGTTTAAGGACAATCGTCCGGTGAGCAGCGAGGACAACAACGCGCTCGATTATACCTATGGCATCTGCTCTCTGGAGATGTACGATCTTCAGCTTCCCAAAAGCGGCGTGTACTCGTGCGTCGCCACTAACGAGCACGGCTCCGATGAAACGCACTGCAGACTCATCGTGGAAGGTACGTGCGCCTTCGCTGTCGCCATCTTGATCTTGATCATGATATGTACGTCGAGAAGCCTAAATAGGCCAATTACGACGGGGTCCATGTTCCATGTTACGGGTAGGCCATGTTTCAGCCTTGTGGCTATCATTCATTCTGGTGCCTGATTGATGGAATGATACGAGTCTAGTATAGTATGTCTGAAGTCGGATCTTCGCACGATAATTAAACCTTGCCACAACAGCTATACTAATGACAACATAGCCACGTTACACTTGCATGTTACCTTGGTTACAGGTATATTACATTGTTACATTACATCAGGCTCATTGGTATACATTTTATTTGTATGTTATCTTGTTACATTGCATGGTTAAATTACATCCGAATATTAAATGGTTACATTGCTGCAGTTATTCAAATCAGGTTCACTTCAATTTCTTTATGTCGTCTGTCGATATACAGTTTGACATAAGTTATAGCAGGTATAGGTTTGTTACAAGAAGATCATTCTCAAATTGTAGCTTGATTTTTGGCAAGCTTTCCCCACGCTTATTTTTCAATAAAAATTTCAATGATGATAAACGCACGACGTTGATACGTAGACATACATATACGCTTACATTACCTTTCTTCTCTCTCATAGCGAGAAAATACACCCCTCTGCTGTACGCCGGTCTGGAAGCCACCACCATGGAACAGGTGCAAGCCATGCAGAAAGAATCGCCTCCTCTCTCGCCAACAAAGAGGCAGAGGAGACCCAAGTTTGACAGGATTCCGTGTAAGCAATTGCTGCGCGTTCACAACAATCGATTACCACTCGCAGTCCATTTAGAACGCCACAGCGTTATTGAATAACTTTAAATCCGCATTATCCATCAGTTTAAATTACGAAATATTACACACGCGCGCGTATGCACGCACACACATACACACACATGCACACACACAAACAACACACACACACACACACACACGATCACACACACACACCAACACACACGAGAGTACACAATATTATATGCACGAAACTACTACATTACACATGGA